GGGGGGGGCAGGACAGTCACGCGCCTTCACTCACACCCACACCACAACGTGTCCTCGCCACGTGCACCCACTGTGTGACACGCCCGGGCTCAGCAACACAGATACGCCCAGAAAATGCCCCTTGCCCGGCTGGTGTGGCTCAGTGGTTAAGCATCGACCGATGAACCCGGAGGTCCCGGATTTGATTCCCGGTCAGGGCACATGCCCGGATTGCGGGCTTGATCCCCAGTAGGGGGTGTGCAGGAGGCAGCCGATCCATGATTCTCTCTCATCATTGATGCTTCTAGCTCTCTCCCTCTCCCGCTCCCTTCCTCTCTGGTATCAATGAAAATATACTAAACACACACACAAAAAGCCCTTCTCAGTTTTCTCAACTGCAAATGAAGGTAAGTTTACGACTCGTGTTTGTGGTGAGGCTTCAATGAGAAACATACACAGAACTGACTGAACACCCGGCACGTAGTAGGTCTACGGGAATGCTGATTCCAGCTAGCTGGATGTGTCCGCCTCTCCAGTGAATATAAGGGTCATGCCCTTTGTTATCGGCTAACGAAAGATACGCAAACACAAGGACATCATGCAAATTGCTTCGAAAACGAAATTTTGCCATTGTCGTTTTGGCAAAAGTGGCAGGCGTGTGGCTTTGAAGAGAAACAACTGTTCCCCAATAAACGGACTAATTGCCGCTTCTGTGGAGATCTGACAGAAGAGGTCCTCTCCACCCACTGCCTCCCGGGGTGGGGGGGTGGGGGCTGTGCTGGCCTTTGATTTTGCAAGGGGATCTGATTTCTTCCCCCCACGACAGAGCCAGGTCATAGGGCCGGGTTAGGATCAACAGCGACTGCCAGCAGGGAAACCAATGGCCCAGGCCCTTTGAAATCCGATCAGCAATGCAATTAGGCGCGGAGCTGCCGCAAATGAACAGCCGGTCACCTGGGGCACATACAGCAAGCCCGGCCACAACTGCTAACTGCTCGGGGCTCGGGTGCGAGCAGTCCCGGTGCCCACGGAGCCGCATATATTTTCATGATAATGCTTTTTCCAGTAGAAACTACCCGAGGAGCTGTTACTCCGTTTCCAAGATGAAGAGGAAGCCGGAGGGGAAAAATATACAACCGAACAATGCTGCTAGTATTCGGACGGGAGGCGGGAGGGGCGGAGGGGGAGAGACGGGCCAACACAAATGTAAATGCGGCTTTGAAGTCCTCCTTCAGGCCGAGCGGCAGGCTGCGCGCCTCTCACCTCCTCTCTCTCCACGACTCGGGCGTCTCTAAGGCCTGACGATGAAAACGCCCGCCCACCGGCCGCCGCGAGCAGGAATCGGGGCTGGGCCGGGGGGCAGGTCACAGAGCCCCAGACGCACCCTGCTCGGGTTCACTCGAGTTCAGTCCACAGAGCACACAGCGCTCAGCACGCACAGCCCATCCACCACTGGCTCGGCGTCTTCATCAGCAGGAGTCACAGGTGAAGGCGACAGATGTCGCACGTGGGCCGCCTGGGTCCAGGACTCCTGCACAGGCTCAGACACCCGGTCTTTGTTCTGTTTGCAGGCAGGACGGCCGGAAGGGCACGGCTGCCCCCTGGTGGCCGTCGGGGGCAGCTGCGGCCCTGGC